TAAACACTGCGATTGTTGGTCGGCGATATGTATAGAGTACCTTGAGCACTTGATTCAACATACAGATTGGATCGATACCGCAACCTGGTCGGAATCCTCCCAGCTATTCACGAATATTTGTCTTCCGTAAGGGCGTCCAACGTCGAGGCATGATGGTGGCTAATACTTTGGTGACGATTAGCACCAAATTGATCCTGTGGTGGTTTGTGCAGTAGTTGCGAGATCCCTTCTTGAAAATTGGAAGATCCCTGATTCGCTCCAAGATGGAATGCGATCGTGATAGTGGACAAGGCATTGCTACGGATGAATCAGGGGAACGCTGGACTCTTCAATTGTCTCGCATAAACTTAGTTTTTGTGAACCAGTCATCTCAATTAGACGGAAAAATTGCAACTTTAAAAAACAGCCGCAACCTCTTTCGTGGTGATGGCCAAGTGGTTAGGTCACCAAATAGTGATCCTGAAGTCCCGGATTCGCCCGTCTGCCCCATTTCTGTATTTCCCCAGGCAGCCTTTCTATGGAAGTAAAAGACATCATTATTATTATTGTCTCCTAGCATTCTACGATTTGCTTCCTGCTGCGGGAATCTCTAAGGATCTGGGAGAGCTTTGCGTTCTGTGAAGTTTGCACGTTGCATCATGTTTGGTCAGTGTATCTTCGGATAGTTCATGGACAGTAGTACAATCTGTGCTTTGTCTGTTCCCCGAATATGATGGTAACACTTACGGGGAAAGGGATAAGGAGACCGGTGAACACCATTTCAGAAGTACAATCACATGCCTCACTGGTGATAATGACCCGAAAAAAGTATGCTCACCTTTACTTGTAGATCGATGGCAATTGGACTGATCGGTTCCTCTTCCGACGCGGACATTCGACGATGACTGGAAGTGGGACCATCACCGTCAGGCAGCTGGGTGAACGAGGTGTTGCTCACAATCGTTGCTTCCGCATCCGCTTCTTGTTTGCTTTTTTCGTTATCGCCATCGTTCGGGAAAAATGTTTCGGTATTGGTAACGATCCCCGAGGATATTTCATCGGTGGGTGCAACCCCAACTTGAGTAGGCCTCTGCGGAATCAGATTGTTTTGTGTGACGGATTCCGATGCACTCGAGGTGACTGGGGTCAGTTTGCTTCCGATCGGATGATTCACCACTGATTGTAACTCACTGCTCGGTTCTGTAGTCTCCTGCTGTCCCAATGAAACCAAATCGGGTGGCAGTGCACCAGTGTGTCTGGTTGGTAAGACCTGGATCTGTTCGACTGTCTGGGAAGACGGGTCGGTCGAGTTTACATTGAAATGGTTCGTGGTTTCATGGTTCGGTTGTTTGGTTGCGGTTGATTGTATTGCAAACGATTCGTGATGCACGTCTGATTCGTCTTCTTCAATGGGGTCAACCATACTTAACAGTGGGACAGTGGAGTAGGCTTGCAGTGAATGATGGGGATTGATCGGCGTAGTGACTACCGTGTCATTAGGAGATCCGGTCGATGAGGCAACCGGTTGGGTTATCGGCTTATCATCTGACGATAACGTAGGAGACGTGACTGACTCTGGGATTTCAGCTCGAGGAGCGACCGAGCGAAACGCACTCTGTGCTCGGTGAGACGTGACGGGATCAACGATTTGAGACGAATCTGGTTCGGCTTTTGGTACCTCATCCATAGTAGACAGTCTATCATTGGACACTGGCAAGAGGTCCGACTCATGATGATGGTTATTCTGTTCAATTCCGGCTTGCTTCTGAATCGGAAGCCCAGATGCCACAGTTGAAGCGGGCACCGGCTGAATTGCCGGACTGGTTGGCAAATCACTGGTATCACCATGAGAGTCAGGTTGAGCAGTACCATTGACGGGGGAAAGGGAAGCAGTGGTATTTTTTTCCAAATCTGAAATATTGTGATTGGCTTCAGGGGAAGAAAGATTGTTCATGCTGGATTCGTGGCTAATCGGAGTTGAAGGACGAACAGACTGTTCATCCGCATCCTTTAGTTCAGCCAATAGGGTCTCTTGTCCGGTAGAGGCTGTCCTACCTGGTGAAGTATGCCCCTCCAAATCAGAAGACATGTCCCGATCCGATATGTCATTGTCCTCAGTGGTGCTAGGCGGTTTTGGTGTGAAGAACTCCGTTGAAAAAGTGGTCCCCATAGCGCTACTACGGCCACTTTCTGGAGTTGAACCAACGATAATTTCCCGTTCCCCGGGCAAACGAGCCGGTGGGGGTGGTGGAGAGTTCATACGTTCAAGCATGGCGGTGCGTGCATCTTTGTCTGGGGCATAAACCGCGGAAATAGGACCGACACGACGAATCACACGTGGTGTACCAGAACCACTTGTATTCGGACTGTCCTCGTAGGCTGGGGATTCCGATTCGCCGGGACTTAGCACCGATTTCACCGGACTGGAATCCTCACCCTCGTACGAATGAAACGAATCGGTATCCGTGTGGAAAGATCCATTGAGAACATTCTGAAATGCGGATAAAGATTGGAAAAATAAACAGGAACAGTGAATCACGCACCTGACAAAAACGAACGGTGAAATGGACTGCAACAAATGACACATCGAAGATTGGAATGGTGAGTTTAATTCGTACCACCATGTCTCATAAATATCGTGTCTTCATATAGTTTTTCATCTTTTACCTCCCCTGAATGACTAATGAACAGATAGAACACTACCATATGGATATATTATCGGAGTAATTTGTTGTGGAAATGTAGAAGTTGTGTGACCCGAATGCAGCCGACAAACCCGACATCAAATCATCAATGGATGGGGCTGGCCCCACGAACGACTAGGCCAACACGATAGAAGTTATTGTCTGAGTTCTCTTGATTTCACTTCCGCTACGACATCAGCTCGCGTCTAATTGGATCTACGCCTGATATAAGTCACTCTTGTGATCAGTACTGAATACTTGATGTCAAACAGAAAGTATTACTGGTTCAGTTGAGCCGCCAAACTCATAATCCGCTGGAAAGAGAGCGATCCTTTAACGGTGACTGTTTAAGGATTGTCACATGTTGTTCTATCTGCTTTTCAATGCCTTAAACAGATAGGACTAAAATGGGCTGAAATTTACACCCTACTATCTCAACCACAAAACGGTCAGTTGAGATGTAATTCAGTGAGGGATAAAATATGAAAGATGAGAGCGTTGTGTACACACACACACCCAAAAGTGATGGCTCCACATAATTGGTTGATACATTTTCAAATGAGCATATCAGATACTGGTACAAACGGAAGATCAAATCCTGAAGTCCTTTAATGACCATGAAGCATGGTTCGGAAAAGAACCTGTCGGCGATCAAGGTCGTGTGAAGAGACAAAAATGTGTAGAAAATCATTGATGCCACCCACTAGTATCACTACTAAGACAACGACAACTATCTTCAACGCAACCGTTAGGAAAGCTCACGAAATGGGGTGGGTGTTCGAACAATAGCGAAAACGTGAGCGTTGTATTTGCAGATTTGAAACGGTTTCTCAGACAACGATAACTGACGGCAAACTAAATAGTACAAGAGGGTTGCGTAAAATTTACCGACCAGGTAGAGATTCTTCTCATGGTGACTGGGAAATGACTGCTCGAGAAAATTGATCTGTTCAATAAGTACACATTATCATATTGGATGCATACACAGGTGACGCATACGTAAACACACAACTGCAATGTCGGTGTGAGTAGTGTACAGGCAGTGAAAGGGCCTTAGTCACGTGTTGTTTTCTCCTTTGCAAATGTTCCAACCGATTGTTCACGAACTAAAAATACTAACCGGAACAACAAATAAGAGCTAACTAGTCATATATAGGTAAAACATTAAAGCACTGATTCTTCTGAAAGAGCTGTCTATCCAAAAGTAACCCGGTGTTGTAAACAAGGTTATTGTGACGAAAATACACTTCCTGTGTACAAGTATATGAATGAAGCTGGCAAAAGATTACCGGATACGCATGCCTGGCGAACGGCAAGAACTGCGAAACCGGTCGTACGCTTCCAGGGAAATGTTGTCCAGTCATTCACATACTCCACTCATTATGAAATATGTATTTATTTCAGATCATGCAGTGGCTAGTTGGGATCAATAAACCCCAACATGAAGTGTTGTATTGCTTCTTGTCAGTAACACATAGAAAACTGATGCAACCAATTCATCAATCGTCATTTACCGTCGACAATTCATTGTCGTACAGAATTTTCTTCAACCACTGTTTAGCGAGTTTTAAAAAAAGTCTTCATCGGGAAACTGCACCTGGCATGATTGTTTTCACTCCTGGTTTTATTTTTACCATGTCTGGATTTGGAGTGGAACACCAGAGTGACTGTGAAACAGAAAACCGATAGAGAACGTGATCGTTAGCGCATACCTACTTACTGTCCAAGTGAACCATTTTGGTTTTTCTGTGTATTGCAACTGATTGCTTCTCGGAAATAGATTTATCTCTGTATTTGTTTGATGATAATTTCAGTACACTTGGCCTTGCAATACATGTACACTTCTGCTCTCTGACCAGGACTGAACGGGAAGAGTTAGAAATCGGTACCCGATAAAGCAGTGTATGTGGTTGAATCAGAAAAGATCCTGTAGTTGACTGACCGTCTTTCAAACCACATCTTCAAACAGTAAATTCTCCACTCGTCCAGTTCACCGTACAGTCAGGAATCGATGCAGTCGAGTTTCGCTCTTGTTTTAGACCATCCGTGGTGCATAATCACTGACCTATTCGGGATTGGAACTCCGGACCTTCTCTTACATGGAAGATAAGTATGATCATTAAGCTAAGCACTAAACATAGCGGGGCTGACTAGATTTTTCGATTCAAGTGTTCAGATGGAGTCTTCAATGTCATCTAGTTAACTCGATTATAAACCGTACCGGTGGACAGCCGCAGTCGAGCAATCAATGTTAGTCACCTACTTCCAGTAACTCACTTCATTCAACTGAACAATGCACGATGTAGTAACCCTGCTGAATAATGCGTCACACTAGCGCACGTTTGATCAAGTGGCCATTAAATTATTTGGAGGGAGGAAAACGCACCAGGTCGTCGAGTACTATCGTCCACAAGCATTCATTGGTTGCGCAGGAATTTGTCTGCACCCACCCACTTGACAATAAAACGATTGACTCCATTTTATCCCCGATTCTAGAGCTTGGTATTCCCCAAATCTCGTCCGAATCCATTATTGACAAACGATGGGTAGACGAACTTCATGAAGATGTGTGTCTGTTGTGCTAGGCGGTGGGACTTAGTATTTTGTGTTTATGTGTAATTCGTTTAAAAAGGGCCTGGACTGGAGGTGAACCGTCATACACAGACGTGGCACATCTATTGACCAGTCGAGTGATCACCCGTGTGCGCCTAAGTCCGGTTACACGGAACAAGGATACGCATTTTCTTTGTCGAAACGATAGCTACGAAGCGGGTATCAATAGAATCAATAGAACATGTGTACATGTATTAATGCTGCTCGAACAGTGAACGAGGCATCACACCGATTTCGGTTAGCCACTATTTAGGTAGAAGGAAAGAAAAAATATCACAAGGGGGAACTGTACAAAAATTGAAGTTCACTGATCATTCACAGGGGAAAACATAAAGAGTAAATGGGGTCAAAATTAGATCAGTAGCCCTAGAATGGTCCAAAGTATGAGAAATTAAGATTGGAAATCATTAGTTGGTGTGACCAAACACAGGAATATGCATGCGATTCACGGTAACATGAAGGATTGCAGATTTTACCGTTGCAATGAGTTGCAGTGTTTACCGGCAGGCTATTACGTCAATAGTATATCCGAAAAAGATATGCAACAAAAGCCACTAAGAATTATAACCTAGTCAAGAATACAGCCAACCCAAAGAATAAAAACCTGAGTAATCGAAAGCATTGAATTGGGCGACAGAAAAATTGCCTAATTGTCAAAGTGAAACGGATGTGGCCAGATTTCGACCAAGGGTGATCGTATCGGGGCAACAGCCACCATCGATAAAGAAAAAACATGGGATTATGACAAATTCTTGTTCTTTCCTTTCGTAGACTCACCAGTTCTGTCTTCCTTGATCTGAAAGTCTTCGACTTAGTTGACCGCACTACGCCTCTCTTTGAAGGGTGTACCGGAGAAGTCTAATTCCATATTACGATCTCTTTGTACTGATGGTCGAAGCTCAATTCGAGCCTAAGCCTACTTTTCCCCGAGTTCACCACGAAAAGCTGTGTCCATCAGGGTTTTCCTCTCGTCTTCGCTACTGAACTTTGTGATGGAGATAAGTCTGGAAGTAGCTCTATTCCCGTTTTACGCTGGCGACATCGATATGCTCTCAGGTGACAGACTCTCTGATCTGGAGTATGTTGATAAGTGTTCGAACACCGCTGTCTACGTAGCATTGCACGTGTCTGGTGGGGTAACGGGACTAGCAATACTGAGGTTAGGCGTAGAGTTTTAGGTAATCGCAGTCGTCCACTTGAACAGGTAGTCGACCTCCATAGATTACGCTGGTTGGGACATGTGCTACGCATGTCACCAGATAGGTTGAAACGGCGAAAGATGTTTGCCAAGGCTGGTAGCGATTGGAAAAAAAACAAAGGGCGGTTAAGCTAAGACCTGGCATGAGAGTATGAAAACCCTAACCAGGAAACTAGGTCATATAGGCCCCGTTAGGCTCCCTGGCTGGGGACCTCGGGATGATGGTCACCGATGGTTAGCTACACTGAGTGATATGGCAGGGTGTCGCAAACAGTGGCGCTCGTGCATCCACTCGTTATTTTTCTAACACCACTCTGCATGTATTTCGCAAACACCGGCGCTCGTGCATCCACTCGTTATTTTCCTAACACCACTGAGTGATATGGCAGGGTGTCGCAAACAGTGGCGCTCGTGCATCCACTCGTTATTTTTCTAACACCACTCTGCATGTATTTCGCAAACACTGGGCCGATGGTTAGAGACACTGAGTGATATGGCTGGGTGTCGCAAACAGTGGCGCTCGTGCATTCCACTCGTTATTTCCTAGAACCATTCTATATGAATTCCCCATCGTCCGCTTGAATTTACTTCGACATTCCAATCTTCATTTCGCTCTTTTATCTAAATGGGCAACCAAAACCGGTGCACGAAAGTGCACGGTTAATGGTTGTAAAAACTGAAACTGATAAGTGGAGATACGGCTAAGTTACAAGTCTTTCTGGATTGTTTGAGTGCTCAGGCAGCTACGTTCGACATGCGTTTTGAGCGTTAATAGTGAAGAACGTTGTTATCAGACTGGGTTGGTTCAGCACCCAACCTCATCCCACTGGAGAAATAACAGCGAAAGGAGATAACTTTGCTATGTGGACAGCTATATCTCACCCAGCGGATGTATCACGCATGAAGTGTTTCGGGACGCATACAGAAACCCTCCATTGGCGCTCACCAACTTTTCATCTCTGGGACCGTCGCGACATTCGGCTGTCAGTGAAGGGTGGAGTGCATGCTACAGCAGTTCGG